CTTTACAGTTACATTATTTTGTTTGTTTTGTTGTTGTTTTTTCTTTTTTGTGGCTGCTGGTACAAGATTCAATCCCTGGACCTTGGTGTTATCAGCACCCACTCTAACCAACTGAGCTAACCAGCAAACCCTGTTTGTTTTTTTCATAAAGGTAGCAACAGGATTATTAACTCAAATAAAATATAGGAATGATCTTTAGGGAAAAAAATATTAGTATTTATCCTATTTGGAAGAAATAGACAATTTTTGTGTAACAAACATTTTATCAAAGAAGTAACTGAAAGATTCCAATTTACTGCCATATTTCTTTAGTTAAATTTTTTTTCTAGTTAAAATAATGTTTATCTCACTCTGAGATGTCAGCTTATCTTGATTACTGTGAAAGGCCACATTAAATTCTTTTCTGGAAATAAACAAGATGTAAGCATACACAAAAATAGATAAACTATATCTCAATCAATTGGAAACATATCAAGATGTTTTGTGAACCAGAATCCTGTTAGATTTATCACTTCTTATTAAATTGACATTGATCAGAAAAATAAGGGGAAATATTATTTCCTAACATTTGTGTTGGATGATGTAGTACTAAATGTTGGTTTGAATCTTAAAAATATGAATCAAAGAGCATAGAGTTCTTTCAGATTATATTGCAAAACTTATTTTTGTTCTAATTCAAAGAATTACAAGCAGCTGTGAACCCGTTTTTATCTATCAAAGGTGTCTACTTTAGTGATATTTGTTTTCCTACATACATGAGAGCCAGTGTGTTGATAAAAACATACTCTTTGTAGCAGTTTACCTTGAGGGGTGTTTCATGAAATTTTAATTGTGGGATTGAAACAAGCTTGGTCAGTTCTGTCATTCATGCTGGTTCCCTGAGGTTTGTAGGAAAGCTGCCTTAGGTATTCTGTGGGTAGCTGACATTATAATGAAATGCCAAGGTGGAAAGTTTGCTGCTGGTTTGCCCAGGAGCTTAATGTGCACACTTACAAAAGAAAACAGAGAGCTGCACTTGAATGGGGTCAGTGTCCACAGTGAAGGAGAACAGCAGGCTCCATCCCACTGGGGAGCCCATATGGGATCTAATTTTAAGTGTTCACTCTGCTACTTTGCTCTGAAGTGTGAAAACTATGCTTCAAAATCTTGCCTGCAGACCAGACTAAGGCACTTAGTTTGAGCACGACAAAAGCTCAGGTGCCCATGGCCTTGGGCGATGAGCCCTGTCTGGCTGCATGGCACCCAGCATTTAGGCAACTGTTTAGTCGTCTGGCTGAACTTGATTTAAAGAGAGAGAGAAGCATCACTATCTTAAAATTAGGATTGTGATTTGGGACCTCACCTGCAAATTCCTACAGATTAGTTAATCCCGGGAGACTTTCCTGTAAGATGTGCCATTATCTTCTGTTCCTTTGGAGCATTAGTGA